ATCGATCGCAAACTACGTGAAACGAAGAGAATGCGCTAACAATCCCTTCAAAACATTTTATTGGATAGTACTAATATTTATTTCGTCCTTTCCTTCGTCGTGTATTCTAATCTTCAATCAGGTCTTTTAATAACACTCTATGTACTTCAACCTTCGTTATCTGGACATTTTTGTTTGATCTTGCTTAAAGATTCACCTTTTATTACTTAATTTTGCCGTTGCATGTTGCCAAGCTATTAACAATAAGGTCATGTTTGGCTAAAACTGAGGTACCAGTATAGTTCATTATAAGACTGTTAAACTTTGACTGTCTGTTTAAGTTTCTGGAACCCTTGCAGCTAGATATTCAACTTTATCTTTTTAGGAATACTTTTACTGATTCTCAGATATTGAACTCTTTTTTGTTAAGTGTTCATTTTGTTGTTTGGCACGTTATTTTGTGCTAGAGATATATTTGACTGTATAGCACAGACTGTACTGTTTAATGCAATTTTTACTTCTGATATATGTCATTTTCTTCCTTAAATTAGAACCATTTACCCCAAACACAGAGCTTGCGTTTTCATATAATCCAATGTGTCACTCAAAAAAGCTTCGTACGCTATATAGGGGAACGTAGTTTGACCTAATCGAAGAAACGTCGTTTCGCTAGTTCTGTATTCTAAATGAACATTGGGAGTTTGGTCGTTACGATGCTTGTTGCCCTATTTCATTTTCCTTGTTAATGAGAAGTTATGGGATGAATTGAGGACGAAGTACTATACAGATAAGTTTTACCTTCTATTAAACCAGAAAAGGCGACTAATGGCATAGGAACCATATTTACTTAACAAAAACAACCAATTCCATTCGTTGGTGCAATAATGGTTGTCTGAATATAATGTTAATAATAAAGAAAGATATCATCCATACAGTAAGATTTTCCTTGAAAATCTTGTGTGTAAAAACCACTCCACTTACACTGTTATTCCTCGTGATTCCATCAGATGTGCGTTTTGTTGATTTTTCATTCCTTCTGGAGTGGCAGGTTTTGCATTTTATTCCAAACTTTGCTTTCCTTTCATTTTCACTAAATATCCATGTTTTCCTGGACCAAGTCTATGTTGCTTTAGTCGATAATTAGTTACGGCGGCCATAATATTAACTCATTCCTTTTTTTGTCCGTGTTGCTTGCATTGACTGAATTTGTACATTTTTGACTGCGACATGGAGCACTCTTTCAGAAATAAAAACACTCCGTGTTATAATGGAATTAAATATTATCTTTCGAGCGATTTGTATGTGATCCATCCAGAGAGGATAAAATAACATTAATTTGCTGCACATGGGAATTCTCTTATATCCTTTATCAATTTATCTGTTCAATGTAACTTCGATTTGACCAGTGGTTGAAGAGTTTTTGGTTGAATGACTGGGTGGCAGTATCTGTTTAGATAGTAATATGCAGTCAAATTTAATATGGAATTTGGAAATGTTATTTACCGAGTTATCTTGTTTTGGTTTCAACTAGGTGATAGTGTACAATTAAACTAATCTAGGCAGTTATTCATCGTTCCAAACATACTCAGTTTTGGGAATATACTTACTTCAATTGGTTATTCGCGAGAACTCTGAACTCTCCCAACAAATTGTAGACACACTAGACAAGATAAGACCCACAACTATGACCCTAAATATGAAAATATTACAAAGGTATGAAAGTTTGGTACCGGTGGAAAGTGCCTGTTATATCGACACTTCAAACTTTTCGACATCTATCTTGGGTGCACCTCAATATGCTGCGCGAAACTACCCTGCGAAATCGTACAAATGGGTAATCTATTGGTAGCCTTATTTCTACTTTAATAGAATTACTCGTGATTATGGTGTCGGTGTCGATATAAAGTTTATACGACCAATTTAAGGTTTAATTCTGGAGTCAGTTACACACTACTATTATTTCAGTCCAGCCGTACTAATTCAGTCTACTTATGCTTTGACTGGTAATAACTACTGTGCTTGCTACTTAATTTGATAACTTAAACATTCATCCAAGAACATTTGTATTACAATTCTTACTTAATTTACACATGCTTGGTCACCAAGTTGTAGATAATGAATTTAACGTATTTCTTTCACTTCATTCGTTTTCGTCACTATGCTGCAGATAATGAATAAAGTACTATCATCACAAACTGTATGATTATATTCTTTCTGTTGGAGTTTATTTATAAGCTACACCTTTTAAGCTTCTTAACTAATCAAAATCAATAATGTCACTACACACTATACTCCAAATCATAATGTCACCTGCGAATAAGCCTGAAAACTATTTACAACATCTCAGAAGCTCCTTGAAGTGGAGGGAAAATAATGAAGGACTTGATATTGTACGTTTCTGCATACCATTTTGCACAACATCCCATTCCGATAGTATCATGTTTTTTATAACTCTGTCTTTTTGGTTGCATACAAAGTTCTTAATCTAAATTTGCTTCAAGCCTTGTTTTTGGAAGTTAGGATATTTCCGCATAAAATCTGTGTGAGATGCTTATCTCTCAGTCTTGCGGAAATTTATAAGTAATACGTAATGTGAGTTTCTTCCTGTTTATTCTTTATTAACTTTTTACTCTTCTGCACACCATGTTGACTGGCAATTTATATTATTTCTCCTCTCGTTACCTTATCTAAAACTCATACACTTCTATACTTTTCCGCCTGCTTTAATAAACAACTATCCTACAATATACCCTTCTTTATGCTTACACTCTAATTGGCAAACTATACCTTGTACTATAGTCAAATAAAGCACTGCATTGATGTCTTACCCACAGTCCATAAATTGTAGCTGCGTGATAAGCTCGTAAAATGGTACCTACAGAAATAGTGTTTCTCAACAGGTTGTGAAACACAGAGGATTGTGTGAGGTATGACATACATCCAAAAATAAGCCTAAGTGAGCCTATCATCACAAAAGGAGGGAGGGTGGAGTTACTGACCAGCAAGCATTGATGGTGAGGGCGATGACTTCAATCCACCCATGTTTGTGGGGCAGAACATTTTGTATGTATCAGGCTCTTTATGATTGAGAATAAGTCAATCAATCTGTGATGTAGATTGTCTTCCTACGCTCACCACTTAGACTCATGCTTCCAAATTTATGCTGGATTATCTATTCTACTATGACAACCTATAACATGCTAACTCGGACTTTTACACTACGATTGCGTGACTGGCATCGGGTGGACAAAAAAGGAGGAAAAGAAAAAAATAGACAATAAACGATATAGTTATTAGTATTCCTAACACTTCACCCTCTATATGCACACTCACTTCTAATAAACAGCTTTCCTTGTACCACCCTTGACTTCCCTTCCTTCATGTGGGCTTACTCCAACTTGTTAAACATCACAACTCATTGTATTTTGTCGCTACATTTACTCATATGGAGCCTCTGACCTCATTTCACTCTGAAAAGAGATAATATGAATTTATTCTAATTTATTATACCTTTGTCTGTTCCACCACACAATGCTAAGCAACGTTTGGCGTTCATATCCAAGTGCCTTACTGCTCTTCTGTTTCTCTTTTTTTCTTCAGAATCTTGCTCTGAGGGCACAGCTCTGGAACTTCTGACGTCTCCTCAAGGTCATGGTTTACAGCAAGCGCTCTACGAGTCTACTTTATAACAACTATAAACTTTATAAGTTGTGAAGCATGCTGTGTGCCAACAAATGTTGTAATTTGTAGATCATGCCTGCAAAAATGGAATGTACCTGCTCAAGCAGAAATATATTATTATTATTATTAAACACTCTTCCCTACAAATATTTTCTGAGATAATGTCTTCTGAAGATGCCAGGATGTTAAGAGAAGTATGTGACTAGAGTGGGTCTGACTTAAATTCAAAGTTTAGCGGACAACTATGAACTTGTGTTTAACGTTTTAAAGGGTAGAACACTATAATTACAACTCGATGGAAACTATTCATACAGCCAATGTAATCTTCAGCTAGAAGAGTCGTTAGTCAAAAATGTCTTGATATTCTAGTAACGTACTGCGGAAAATCGTCTTTTGACCAAACCTTATGTCAATAACTTTGAAGCGAATTTTCGATCGTCACGAAAAACAGCTTTCAACTAGATCCTCAAAGGTCTTATTCTGCTTGTTGTAATATAATATTTTTCCTTTTATCTATTATGAAGAAGAATAACCTGAGGAGCTTTTGATGTAGGACAAAAAATCGGGTCGTAAATTCCATTATAAACCTGATGAGAAACTTTTTAAATCAATAAATCTTTTGCTCATTAGCGCAAAAGTGTCACATATATTCATGGCTTAACGATGCTGTTGTCTATGGCAGCTTTATAATCGAAGACTCCAGTCAACGAAGTCAGGAATAAGGTTTCAAATATATTTTTAGAAGATAATCAACATATTGAATCATACGTGAATTAAGCTGAATTGTTGTTGTGGCTGATGCGTAGCACAGGTAACTGAGTGGCAACATGATGCGGATACTAAACCAATCACCTTCAGCTAACGTGTGTTCTGTTACACTAATGAGATCAGCATTAATGCTGAAGACTTACAGAAATTAATTTTTATGATTTGTTGACCACCGCAAAAGCATATGCGTTCCAAAGGTGACCTCATGGTGGCTGATTCTATAGAAGCTTGAGAAGTACATGAAAATTAGAGGTACAGCACAGTAAATTGATTTGTTGATAAATTCTACAAGTCTTGGTCATTCAAGTCCTGGAATCCTTGAGCAAGCTGACACAGTCCAAGTTATTTATGCAGCGCGTTTCAAGAGCAGAATTCTCATACTCACATATATCCATCAGAACATCATTTTGCGTTAGTTTTCTAATAATCTTATAACGTCTTTTGATTTTGCACATCCAAACCTTCACTTGAAGTTATCAGTGATTTTTGCCACTAGACACATTACCTTGTCAACCTAATCCTTTTTTTTGTAACCACTAACAGTTTAGACGTTTGACCCGTTAAGTTTGCGCTTTTTTCAATTTTGGTCCCTACAGCGCCAAAGACGACAAGCAAGGTAATGTTCTCGAGAATTGAGGTATTAGTTGTTAGTGTTTACGTTGACGAAAACCAAATAAGTTATATCTTGAGCTTTATTGTAGGGCGTAAGTCTTCATGAACAGTTAACCCAGTGATTGTACCTTCACTTTTGTGTGATGACCACTAACCACCAAAGGTTAGAGTGAGAACCAGTTGGTACTCAATGTACTGAATTGGTATTAAGGTTAGTGTCTATCGCCTACTCACTCTTTGTTAGTCAAAACTCTTAGGGAGATTCATATTTTCCGGACACGGATCCATTCTGTGTGAATAATAAATATACCCTCCTAAGATCCCAAGTTTGGGGAGATTTTGGGGTTTTGGTGCCATTTCCCTAAGAAATTTTCGGCGGATTTCTCAAAATCTCCACAACGTGGGTCAAATTTTTCCAAAAATTGGGAGATTGGGATAGTTTAGTACAGCTCCTCTATTATATGACCACTCATCAGTGATTCCAAACTATATTCTAGAGCATTTTAATTCTTCCATAAACTAGGTTTTGTCACTAAAAATTTATTAAAGATCATTCGGGTATATAGCAACCTGCTATTAATGTGGCCCTCAAACGCCCTGGTACGGTCGCGGTAGGGGAGAGTGAGCTCTACCTCTCGAAATGCTTTTACATGGCCACACGTATACAGCTACTGCCAAGGAAGTCCTACTCACTGCCTTCTCGTGGCGTGGTGTTGTTTACGAAATCGAGAGAACGAAGGGCGAATGTCCGGCGCCCTGACCGGGCTGGTAGACACAGGGTTCACCTAAGAGAGTTGGAGAACCCTGATTCCAAACCAATGGCGCACATAGGCTCCAGGATCCTGAAGGAACAAATGGCATATGAACCAATCGTTGGTCACCGGCTACCATGGGACTGTATCTCGTGACGTTGCTCCACTGCCTTGTGTATCAGACCTTTATATTGGAGGCTCCGGGTGTGGCCCTCTTATAAAACCACTTGCTTCTGTCTGGGCACCTGGGTGGTATCATAGCCCACACACAAATCAAGTGAATTGTGTGGCACATATGTATTTGGTGCCCCTTTGTACCAATATTTATAAGTTCAAATAAATAAACAAATGTTAATGTGACAATTAAACTGATTACTTTCATTTACCTCAGACTTTTACTTTGTTTATTATGTTAGATAGTAAAAAAAGTTTGGTTCGTGATCTCAATCCTATAGTATCCGTCAGTTTCATTGAGCTAGTTAATACTCCCCGTTGTTAATATGGTGGTTAGGTGTCATGTACTCTGATGTCCCGTACCATATTATCACGTATTTCGCGCAACTTAGTGAGATGTGAAATTTGGAATCTTTTGTATTTATCACTAAACACTTGCGAGGAGGAACACCCAAAGCAAATAGTCAGTCAGTCAGTAACAACGTAGAACGTCGTACGTACGTACATCAGTTCGAGTTGCCATACCACATTAGCACAGCGATGCAGTTGTCGATTCAAATTCCGTAGTAGTAGAGGTGGTAAGAGTATGAGCAGAAATTGGAAAGATTAGGGTTTGAAGATGTTATTTAAGCAGTATAGTCCAGTGAAATAAATTTGGAAAGAGTGAAAAAAGGACATGAAGAATTCAGGTTAGAATTTGAGAGTGCACAAAGAGTGGATGCAAACGATTTGCTTCGGTTTGAACACACGGGCAGTATCACAGCCCTCACACAAATGAAATGAGACTTGCGTGGCGCATATGTATCTGGTGCCCCCTGTACCAATATCTATGTGTTCAAATAAAATAATAAACAATTTCGAGCCATGTCATTCAGGGTCTCAAACCATCGGTTGCTATCATCTCGTGGTCCCCAACCAGGTAGTCTACACCTACCAACATGCTCAGTCCACTTGTCAGTGACTTCATGGATTTGTGCCATGTTTTCGTCTGGCCTCCCCTAGTTTTTTTCCAACCTACTTCTCTACCACTGAACATCGCACGTCGAGACAGTCGGTGGTTGGGCATACGTAACACGTGTCCCAGCCATCTCGATTGATGAAGTAGTAAAACTTCAATTGATTTGCCATCCTTACCTAGTACTCGTTTCCTAACAACTGTGTTACTTACTCGATGGTCCCATGATATACGAGCAATGTTTCGAAGACACCTATGATCAAATACAAGTAACCTACGAATATCCTCTACTCTTACCGGCCATGTTTCACTGCCATAAAGTAGGACGGGACGAACTACTGCGCAGTAAACACGACCTTTGGTTGATAGATGGATATCTCGCCTACGCCATAAATGACGCAAGTTGGCGAAAGCTAGTAGAGCCTTCTGTATCCGTGCTGAGATTTCGTCACACACCAAACCACAAGGGCTGATGAGACTTCCAAGATAAGTGAAGCGGTCGACACACTCAACTACTTCACTCCCTATCACTAGTTCGGGTGTCGATGTAACCCAATCCTGAAGCGACATTTTGCATTTCGAGGGAGAGAATCGCATCCCGAAAGTGCTTGCATTGTTGCTTAGAGTAGTCAGAAGACTCTGCATATTGTCAGCGTCTTCACCAAATAAAACTATGTCATCTGCATATTCTAAGTCAACAAGTGAACCTCCCGGCAGAAGTTCGACCCCTGGAAATTAAGATGAGAGTGTTATCTCTAAAAGTACGTCGACGACAAAGTTGAACAAGAATGGGGAGAGTGGACAGCCCTGACGAACACCACTTGAGGTAATCGATTCTGATGACAGTTCGCCATAAGCTCTCACTCTACCAGTTGTGTTCGAGTAGAGAGCCTTTATAAGGTTAATGTACTTCTTGGGTATTCCTTTCAGTGACAAACACTGCCATAGAACCTCACGATCTACAGAGTCGAATGCCGCCTTAAGGTCGAGAAATACTACCATTGTAGGGCGTCTGGACGAGTGTCTGTGTTCTAGAACCTGACGTAGTGTGAATGTCTGGTCTATACAACCATGTCCAGGTCGAAAACCAGTCTGGTTTTCTCTAGTCTGCTCTTGACGAGCTTTGATTAGGCGTCGAAGTATTATTGAAGCTAGTATTTTAGACATTATATTAGTTAAACCGATCCCTCTGTGATTGTCACAAGAGAACTTTTGTCCTTTCCTATAGACTGGCACAACCAGTGATTGAGACCAGTCAGATAGGATTACGTCCAGTTCCCAAACTCTACCTAAGACCTCAGTTAATCTCACTGCTAATACTGGACCGCCATCCTGAACTTCTCATCAGGGCCTGCTGCTCTCCCTCGCTTCAAATTTTTTATAGCTTTTTCAACTTCATAAAGAGTCGGAGGACCTACATTAACTCACTATTCAGGTCGACTGGAAATCGTGGGAACTCAAAGTGTGGCTGAAGGCCAGTTGAACTGATCCGTAAAGTGTTCTGCTCATCGATCCAGTCTCCTGGATTAAGAGTGAATAATACGTACATCTTTTTCCGAGATGGTTTTGCTAACAGTTGGGTTCCTTATACCTTGCTAGCAGATATCACTACTGTTTCCACAGCTTTTCGGATATCATTCCTTGCTGCCTCGTGGTGGGCATCACATACATAGCTGCCTAACTGTTTTCCTAGTTGTTCCTAAAATATACTCTTAGCTTGACTATCATTAAGTAGGCCCCTAAGAGGTTTCCTTGCAGCGTCTTCACTACGTCCAGTAAGATGCAAACAAATGCGCGCTCGCACTAGAGCATGATATGGATCTAGGCATGTGCTCCAGAGTGAGAGACAGTCTTCTATCGAGCCCCTCCATCGGTGGCTGATAGCGATGTGATCTATTTGGGTCCAACGTTGGGACGAATTAGGGGGTCACCATGTTAAAAGATGTTTTTCCTTATGCTTAAAGTTAGTATTTGCAAGAAACAGGCGGTTATCTGAGCATAGCTGCAACAGACGGTCGCCATTATCTGTTTGTTGAGCCACGATGCTATAAGATCCACCCAGGTGTCTTTCCCTATCGCTTAGTTTACCTACTTGAGAATTAAAGTCACCGGCCATTATTACTACATCCGAGCGCCTAGCTTTTCGGAGAAGGTCCTAAAGCTTTCTGTAAATTTCATCTTTTACATCATCTGAGCTGCAGTCAGTGGGAGAATAGGCAGAGACGACGAAGAGGCAACGACAAGTGTCCCTATCTTTCCGGATCCTGTATGCGCGTTTCGGAGACGCAGCACACATCGATGGCGCGAGATTCCAAAGTCCTAGCTAAGGAAGCTTGTTGTCCTATTTGGCAAAGTGTCTGGACGTTAAAAGCTCCTACGTGTAGTTTAAAGCGTGGTTTCAGTAGACCAGGGATAGCGTTCCGCGTACTCTAATCTTTTGCCCTAGCGGTGCGAGGTGATAAAAGGACGTGAGAAGAGTTAGTCGGGGAGATAAGAGTAGTATTAGGAGGTGTAGGAAGGATTTGAGTGTGACCAACTTGATCTCGTGTGCTATTACGGGTATGAGGGCTGATGTCACTCCCCGGTTGCCCACACCGTGGAAGGGTATTTCTTGAGGAATCTAAAAGGGAAGTTGGATTAATGTTGGCCTGCGTGACTGCAGAGCCCAAGGGACAACTGCTTGAGGCCGGTCGCGCACGGCCTATTCGTGAAAGGTTTTTAATGTGTCAGCTCCGTTCTTCAAAGGGCCTTACCGCCGGAGACGGAAATCCGTGAGGTAAGGTTAGGTGACATTTTTAGGATCAATCTTTTGTAACCCCTTCCTTCCTTCCTTGTGGGAAGGCAGCATCGCTGCAGATGCTGGTTGTCCGAGGGAAACACCTTACTGCTGTCACACCCCTCTACAGTCATCAGTACGACTTCGCCCTCAGACCTTGAGTTGCTGCTTTTAGTCTTAACGTTCCTCAATCGACCTGCCTGGTATGGTAGAACCTACAGGAACATGTGTTCCAGCAAATATAACTCGGTTTGGTTATCACAATAGGAAAGCCCGACCACCGCGTCAAGGTAGCAGCTACGGTCGGGCGAAGCGAATAGATTTACTAACTATGGTGAAACCCATATTCAAACTGGGTCACGTACGGAGATGAACCGTAATCAATGTTCTGCGTCTACTGTTACTGGTATTCCTATCCATCTCCGTGTTTATATGACGGGGAAAATTGCACCGATGCACATGCGCCAGGTCCTACCTCGTTTACTACTAAGTGATGAAAAAACTGGTGTAGTTACTACTTGCTACTTGGGAATTTTAACTAGTATCCTTTTTTAGGGTAAACGCAACCGACTGTTTTTCACGCAGGTAACTAGCTATGAGATATGCCAACTGAATTACTGATTGATTATTAAGGATGTGCATTAAATAAAGAAAATCGTCTTGGGACTTGGATTTACACTATTGTTTACTTGAGTTATCTGCATGTGTCCACTCTTCGACTGGACATATCTTAAATTAGTCATGGACGTAGGATGTCTTACCCTGTTGTTATTTTTACTGTCCTTAGATTGACTCCCTCATAATATTTGAGATTTTGAGAAACTCGATGACATTAGGACTCTATAAACTGTATTGCATTCTATCGAATGCAACACGAGCACTAGAGAAAGTGGTATGATAAGAAAGAATATAAGATTTCCCTACATTATAGGGAAGTAGACAATCGAAAAAGAAATCACTGACATCAACCACCTCGGGATTACATTTGTAGTAGATAATTAGATATAAAGTAACAAGAGCTTTAGAAGTATATTAATGTGATTGATTGTTGGTGATTGACTAACGTATTCCCGAAGTAGCCCACTGCATTAATGTAAAACGGATAGTTTTATTGAAGTCTGTCTAGCTATGTATTCCACCTAACTATCATATCAGGATACACTCTACAGTTTCTTTAGCCATACAAAGTGTATTCTCAGCTTATATTACCAAGGTGTTTTGATGCCACGTTCGATCGTTTTTATCTATTATCTATAACCACCGTATTGAACATGAACGCACTTCGCATTTATGGAAACAATAATATCTCCTCTTATTCCTTCCAGGTTTTTGTGCTGAGTAGCTTCACCATATCAACTTGAATTTCCCCCCGCATCAATTGCTTTCCTACTGACTAGGTGAAAAAATAAATAACTGAAAATTGCAATTTCTTAATGGGTGTTACATCCTTTCTGTAGTCTATCTCAAGCAGGCTATGTCAACTCCAATTTCTAGTCTAAACAGTTTATTTTCATTCACATCTCCTGCTGTAAAAAGACTTCTTGGTTGGAAACAAGGAGACGAAGAGGAAAAATGGGCTGAAAAAGCGGTTGATTCACTTGTAAAAAAACTTAAAAAGAAAAAGGGTGCACTTGAAGCTCTAGAGCGAGCTTTAAGTAACCCCGGTGAACCTTCAGAATGTGTTACTATTCCCCGATCCCTCGATGGTCGACTTCAAGTTTCTCATAGGAAAGGGTTACCTCATGTAATCTACTGTCGAGTATGGAGGTGGCCAGACTTACAAAGCCATCATGAGTTGAAACCCCTTGATTTCTGCCGTTTTCCATTCTCAGCTAAAGAAAATGAGGTTTGTATTAACCCTTATCATTATCAGCGAGTTGAAAGTCCAGGTAAGTGTAATTGTTATTGTAATAATTATAGTTTCGTCTTAATATTGCACTGCTATGTTCACTTTGGCTAACACACTTAAAGTAAAGATAAACCATATAGTCAATGGATTTCTATCCTTAATAAAATCATACCATAAATTATCTAATCAGACATTGAGGTTGATAATGAATCATGAAGTACATAAGTAGGTTGTTAGTATCTTAGCTATTAACATACTTTTTTCTGTTGATGGCGTAATAACCCGTAAATTTTTAGTAGCTTTCCACAGCTTTCGAAAGATACTTCTTCCCATCTCGTCTCATATTTTTCTCCAAATACTTACTTACGCCTGTTACTCCCAATGAAGCATAGGCCGTCGACCAGCATTCTCCAACCCACTCTGTCCTGGGCCTTCTTTTCTAGTTCTATCCAATTCTTGTTCATTTTCCTCATTTCTATTTCCATTTCCCGGCTTAATGTGTTCTTTGGTCTTCCTCTTTCCCTTTGGCCTTGAGAATTCCATGTGACGGCTTGTCTTGTGACGCAGTTGGGTGCTTTCCTCAATGTGTGTCCTATCCACTTCCAGCGCTTTTTCCTGATTTCTTCCTCCGCTGGGATCTGGTTTGTTCTCTTCAACAGTACGTTGTTGCTAATAGGATGAAAGCCGAATTCCTTTTCTCCAAATAATTTGTATGATTTCACACAAAATAGCAGACGCCTTCCAGTTCCCCTATTTTATTAGGGCCTGTATATTTAATTAAGATCCAATAATACGAAAATCGAACTGACTAATCAATCGCTTTAATTTCCATTACCATATGTACAGTTTCCAGTAACACTAACTAATATTTGTTATTTTAGTTTTGCCTCCAGTCCTTGTTCCTCGGCATAGTGAATACCCTAGTCTTAGCACTGTAACTCCATCACCGGGTTTATCACACTGTGGAAGCAGTGGAATATCTAGTTCCCGTTCAGCATCTAATCTGGGAATGTTCCCGATGACAGACTCAGCAATGCCTTACAATGTAAATTATCCACACAACTTCAGTCATTCTCCGTCTCTTCCTCCCGGAAATAGTGGAACTTCTACAGACAGTGCAGTTGCTGGACCTATCCATTCACTTAATAGTAAGTATAGTTGTATTTTTGTTCTTCTATATCAGTTTATTATTTATAAATTTACCAACAAATTTGTATGCTTTTGTTTGCCGATCGCTATTTGTATTGAAAAACAACTTTAGTTGGTTTTTACGTACCATTCAAACTATTTTGTTTTCATTTTCCTAACTTCGTAGTTTTACCGTTCTTAAATCATGGGTTGGGCTTTTGATATCAGTCTAAGTGTTTAGTGCAGTGGTCTCTTTGAATGATCTATAAAGTTTCGTACCTTTAGAACCAAACTTTTGTGAATGTGTCTTACATATTTTTTCAGATATCATCAGTAACAAAAGTTTGAAATATCGTTTAGTTGGAATATTTCCCGACAAGTTGAAAGCGCTACTCCGTTTTAAAGATATTCATGTTACAGAACGTCTAATACTGCATATCCTAAAACTGTACGCATTCGATTGCTTAAAAACATATTCTTGTATATAATTTTCTGAGACAACCTAGTTCTAACAATAAATCACATATTATATTACACTGTGTTTAGCGCATTGTAAGCCAAGGAAGCATGTACTCGTTTGCGCTTTTGAAGGCTTAAACTAAGAAGAATATTAAATCAATACACTTGGATCCGTTTAATATTAAATTTCGTACTCCAGTTTTTAAAAAATGCAGTTATTTATTGTGTATACTGTCAAACACCTTTGGTATTAAATAATCGAGTTGGTGGTTTATTTCATCTGTAACATTCAAACAAGAGAAGTTACGTACACTGTAGTTTCTGTAATTATTGATTTAGAAAATATTTTGTGGATTTTATTTATCCAATACTTAGTTTTACCATAGGGAGCGAAGTTGTCAAAGGTATTGACATTCACTTATCTTTGGAGTCTCATCGACTCAGCGGATTGGTGCTCAAAGAAGTACCAGCATGTATACAATAAGTTGATTTCGATTTTCGCCAGAGTGAACCACCTCTGAAGTAGGTAAGGCGCTCATATACATATCGAAGTTATTTTTTTTCATCAATGACCGGGGATAGCGAGCAGAAGGCTTCTCTGTACTTCTATGAAATGGCTTATGAAAGTAAAGTACTTGTTCATAAGTGTCTTCGTAGTATGAAATGGTATTTGATCTTATAATCCAATGACTAAAAGTCTACTCTGTCAATCACTTAGCCATGATTTTGCAAAAGACTAGTTGAGAGTGGAATGTTTCCTTATAGAATTGTTTTACAGTAATGATTTAGAAAAATTTTGTAATGAATCAATATAAATTATGGTTAAATTCCACTATGCTTCTAATTATGATAAAACTTCATCTTGGTAATGTTCTTTAAAACAATTGTTATTTACCATCTTTAACAGGTTCGAATCTTCAATCCGGTTACCAAACTCAACCCAATCAGGAACCGGCTACCTCTGGACAAAGTAAGTTTTACAAATATTTGTGTTTAAATATTTCAGTGCATTTTAAAAATGTTCAGATATTTATGCAGTCTGTTATAAGAACTATGAGTTGAATTTCAAATTTATTTAAGCATTTAGTAACCCGTTACAACTTTATAATAGTCATTCAAATGCCGCTAAAAAGGATCATTTCAGGAAAGTAGAGAGTAGGAAACTGTTAATTTATTATAACTATTTATCTGAGGACTGGAGCACAGCTTATCTAGTTGTGATAATGAAACTAATGACTTAGTTGCTACAATATTTCGCTTTTAGTCAAAGCTACAGGTTCGAACCGTCAACTGCATTTTAGGTCTGTCAGTCACAATATAGAACCGGTACAACGGTTGAAGTTGTCATACCCAATTAGCACAGAGAGATAAAGTTGCTAGGTTAAGTCCCAGAGTAGTATAGGTAGTAACAGTATCAGTGGTAATAGAACGGGTTGAGGATCGAAGATACAATTCTAAAGAATATAAATTAGTGAAATAATAACCAAAAGTTATTAGGAATCTAGGATCTCAAAATTTGCGAAAGACAAAAACGGATGTACGTGCTTCACTCAAAACGATTTCGGACCACTTCATTCAAAGTCTAACCACTGGTTATGGTAATCAACCCGACCCCAACCAGGTATTCTACATCTATTAACATAGCTCAGTTCAACTGTCAATGGCACCATGTTTTGGGGTTGGCCGCTCCTATATTTCTTCCAGCCTACTCTTGCACAAGAAAACATCGCCGATCGAGTTAGGCAGTGGTTGGACATGCATAACACATGTCCCAACCACTTCAGTTGCTCTTGACGAGCTTTGATTAGGCGTCGAAGTATTATTGAAGCTAATATTTTAGACATTATATTAGTTAAACCGATCCCTCTGTGATTGTCACAAGAGAACTTTTGTCCTTTCCTATAGACTGGCACAACCAGTGATTGAGACCAGTCAGATAGGATTACGTCCAGTTCCCAAACTCTACCTAAGACCTCAGTTAATCTCACTGCTAATACTGGACCGCCATCCTGAACTTCTCATCAGGGCCTGCTGCTCTCCCTCGCTTCAAATTTTTTATAGCTTTTTCAACTTCATAAAGAGTCGGAGGACCTACATTAACTCACTATTCAGGTCGACTGGAAATCGTGGGAACTCGAAGTGTGGATGAAGGCCAGTTGAACAGTCTCCTCAAGTGTTCTCCCTATTGGTCCGACCTTCCGGATTGAGAGTAAATGATACCCTCGTCTTGTTCCAAAATAGTTTCACTAACAGCTGGGTTTTTACCACCCGTTTCCTTGATAAGTCTCTTCTGCTTTCTCTGTTCACCACTGCTTACGATTATTACGCAGGCTTTTTATCAATCTACGTTTGAGCTGTGTCCGCCCCTCATCGTGTTTAGAACAAGAAGGGTTAAGTTTGCGAGCATTTATCAGCTCAGTAGACTTCGCTGCAACCCACTGACTTTTCTAAGCCATTTGTTTTAGGTTATTGGAAGATGTTGCTGTTGTTTCCACAGCTGTCCGGATATCATACCAAGCTACCTCGAGGTGGATATCACTTTCATGGTTGAATAGTTCCTTCTCTAGTTGTTTCTGCAATATACTCTTAACATTTTTATCATTAAGTTGAACTCTGAGGGGTTTTCTTGCTTCGGCTTTCATTTGTCCAGTCAGACGCAGACAAATACGTGCTCCAACTAGAGCATGCTTTCAATCTAAACGTATTCTCCGGAATGAGAGGCACTCTTCCATTGAGTCTCTTCAATGAGAAATGATGTCAATATGGTCTATTTGAATCTACCGTTGAGTTTGTTGTGAGTAATGCCCGCCTGAAATAAACGAGTATCTGAGCATAGTTGCAACAGATGGCTGCCGTTATCTGTTCGCTAAGCTGCGATACCTAAGTGCATTTCTCTTTGGATGGAAATCCGTACGGTTAGTGTGAAGTGTGACTTTTTTGGACCGATCTTTTATAACCGTTTCCTTCCGTTGTGAGTAGGCAGCATCGCTTCAAGTGCTGGTTTTTTGAGGTAAACATATTACTGCTGTCACACTCCTCTGCAGTGAGAAGCACAAATTTTCCCTCAAGCATTAAGTTACTGCTTTTATTCTCACCCTTCCTCATTTCACGTCGCTTGGTAGTATTAATATCCATAAAACAAAATATGTGACTCGTGAGTAATATCATGAACCTGTGCTTGTATTTAAACTAAGTTTATCAGATTCACTCAGATCCATCTTAATGAACGTTTGGTAGCTGTTTCATTTTTTGACAGCTTGTCATGTGTGCATTTCCATAAACACTTTGACTCAATAATCTAAGCTACTAATGCATTCTTTAATTTCATTTAAGAAAATAGGGGGATAAGGTATATTATTAGCAAAGATCGGCATAAAAGTGTATTACAATCCATAGTACTGGTAAATATTTAAAATAGATGCATGTATTTAGTTGATTGCTTGAGTCATTTGTACAAAAGCTCATCTAGAGGAAGTCTGAATATATGACATGGTTACTTAACAAAAGAATCAAAATAATTATAGTATCAGTGATAGTGAGAATATGATGCGAAAAATAGATAAAAAGGTATGTATGAAGGAACACGAACCCGAAATCTAAAAAATGATGAACAGTGTATTTATTGATTTAACTAGCTGGTTCTGAGTTATGTTACTCAATATCTATCACCGGCTGCACTCGTGTGGACTCCAACCAGGTAGTCTTCATGTACCATTAAAACTCAGCTCAACAGTTGGGTATTTCATGGATTGATGCCACGTTTCCGTTTTATCTCTTGGGTTTTTTTTCTAACTGTTATTTCAGCCAGTGCATCATATAAAAAAGCTGTTTTAATAATGTATTTCTAAGCAACCATCTCATCCAGTAAAATCACAACATAACATCCATTAAATACAAAAACAAATTGGTGATATTCTACAGTATATTATCATTATTTACCAACATTCGTCATTTATAAGCATCGTTGAGTCGCTAAAGGAAACAGTGGATTTTGTGTCAGTAATTTATCAGAAACCTATTTAGAATTGCTCATTAGGAATTTGTAACTTGAGTCTGAAAAATAATTATGTTTACAGACTAATGGAGTAACAGTTGGAAACTTACTGAAACCACATCCTAAAAGGATTTAGAAAGTTCCAACTAGTTTTCATTATATAACTGGCACATCGATTTTTTATTTGTTACGTGTTAATGGCAATTACACGGGGATTGGTTATAGTTATCAGCATAGTACATTTTATGTGGAATTTAATGTAGAAACATATCTGATCCTTTTTATTCTGGTCTTCGACAAAAGCAACTCTTCACTTTACGGCAAAAGTATTCAAACTTGAATAGGTTTTATCTTATGAGTCAAAATCAGTGTTCAGTCAAAACACTGATTTGCTGAACCAAGTGACTGCTTTGCGGAATGATGGATACATTTGTTTTAATGTAGAAATGTTTATATTCGTTCATTGTCAAAACAGTCTTCGTTTCTATCCCATTTTAGCGGAAATTAGACTATAGACAGACCAAACCAATTAGTAATCCAGCTCCCCAATTGCTATCGTATCCAAGATACAAGAACCACTACATTAATCACAAGTGGTATGATTAGTTCATCCCATATCTAGTTCTGTCTATTTATTCACATGTACCTCCTGAACTACGTTCGTTAAAAAGACAGGGGAAATGTTGCTCCATTTCGTGAATGTATCATACGGAAACTGTCCATTGCAGTACTGATCTCGTTTATAAATCATGTCTAAAGTCACTAAGCTGGAACATATACCTATTTATCGGTTAAAATAATTGAGTTATATTAAACGTATCGCTACTAATTGTCTACGTTAACAAATCAAGCTTTAATCTATCTGTGATATATACGTTTTGAATATACTGTGCTGTTAGTATGTTATATGGTTAAATGTGTTGTCTTTTCATTCACGTCCTAGCTATGCATCCAGTCAATTATCAAGAACCGAAATACTGGTGTTCGATTGTTTATTATGAACTAAATAATCGTGTCGGTGAAGCATTTAATGCTTCACAATTAAGCATAATCATTGATGGTTTTACAGACCCATCAAATAATTCAGATCGTTTTTGTCTTGGTCTTTTGTCGAACGTAAACCGAAATTCTACAATCGAGAATACAAGACGTCATATTGGAAAAGGTTATTATTTATTTAGAGTTTTTCTTTTCTTTTTATGTTGAAATCTTTATTTATCTGACATTAATGGTATGACATCTGAGTAATTAATGTTTGTTCAACTCCATTATATGTTAGTCTTAAAATAGCCAAATAGCCATATTTTGTTTGTTTCTTATCCACGAATAATCATTTGGCTCGTTCGTCTATAATAACTAACCACTTCATTTATTTATCACCAACCTATCCACTTTCTATGGTGCTTTAAAGTAGCAATTAATGGTTTTTATCTTACTCTAGAGTTGCTCGTTTTCTTCCAAATATGATACGTGAATTTTGCCATAGATTTACTGTTTCTGTAAAATGAAGGCAAACACTTAAATGACTAGGTTCAGTTTCTGCTGATACTACATTATTTGTATTATCATCCGTTCATTTTCTGAAACACGATGTTGAAAACAGGAAAATAAGTGATTGTTCATCTTAACTAACTTGGAATTTAATCATATATATATATATATATATATATATATATATATATATATATATATATATATATATAAGTGTAGAGTGGTTATTTAACAATGCACCTACCTAATGGTGTTTCTTGATCATTATCAACATATATATGGCCCCACTTTGTTGGAAAATCTCCCATACTGTTACGATCGTTGTTTTTATTTTGACGAAGATAATGTCTTAATATGGAGCCAACCATTCATTATCTTCTGTGTGACGATCAGTAATTTTTTATTCTCTTCCACCCACCGAAACTCGAAATATTTTAGTTAGATTCTTTTATCTGTTTAGTTCATCATTAATTATATATCATTCAGCTGTGTTCTTTAATAAGTCATTTAAATTGGATATTAGAACTTAGGTAAAAGTGATTGTTGTTCAAAATAACGTATTTACTTTCCGAATCAGTCAGAAGTTTAATTAATCTTTAAGCGAAAAATGGATGTCTAGATTAAAATGTACACACTTTATGCTGGTTTTGTAGATCTAACAAAACTTTTACACAACAAACTGTCTCATACCCATATTAAACATTGTATATATGAGTAAGTTTGTGCAAGAACCTTTACTTTAGAAGAGAAGAATCAAAAAAATAATATTGGACTCTAAGAATCTCGAACTTGTGTCACAGTACACACATTAGACTGAACTAATCATTCATACCATGTTTGTCATTTCACCAAAGTCTGTTTTTTGTTCTATTTTCTCGTATAGGCGTTCATCTTTATTATGTTGGTGGTGAAGTTTACGCTGAATGTTTATCAGATAGTAGTATATTTGTACAATCACGTAATTGTAATTATCATCATAATTTTCATCCAACTACAGTGTGTAAAATTCCACCTGGTTGTTCATTGAAAATATTCTCAAATCAAGAATTCGCTCATCTACTCAGTCGTACAGTACATCATGGTTTTGAAGCTGTTTATGAATTAACTAAAATGTGTACAATACGTATGAGTTTTGTAAAAGGTTGGGGTGCTGAATATCATCGACAAGATGTTACATCTACTCCATGTTGGGTTGAAATCCATTTGAATGGTCCATTACAATGGCTCGATCGTGTACTTACACAAATGGGTACACCAAGAAATCCGATTTCATCGGTTTCATAAATCTCATATTGTTAAACACTTTATCGTTCTCTTAATGGATATTGATTCTGGGACAAAAGATGAATAACATATGATGTATACATGTCTAGGATTCCCATAGGAAAAGAATACATTGTTCTTCTTTCTTATTTTATTTCTGCATTAAGATCATAAATAGCCTCACTTATACTATCAGTATTAACAAATCATCATTACAATCTAAAATTCATTTCATAAGATAGAGCTTCTTATCAACATGAAGCACACGAGAAGAACATGAAAATAATGAATAAAATAACTGCGCCATTCTCGTTTCTACTATTTATTTGTATTTCTGCATATATCTTCTTACTATTTACAATAGTTATTGATATTTTGTGTGTGTTCGTACAGCGCCTCCTGAAAATGCTAATCACATTGTTATGTTTATTGTTAATCATTGGGGTCTTTCTCTTTTCTTCATCGTTCCTTTTGTCATTATTGTTTTCATTGTTGTGTGGACATTTCAAGTCTACTTTTTCAATTATTATCTTGATGTAGGTAGACGACAGTGTGAAGTGTTTTGAAATCACTGTAATATAAAACATAACTGTCGCATTTTCGTATTATTTTCACGCTCATCTCTGGAGGTATATATATATATATATATATATATATATATATATATATATATATATATATATATATATATATATATATATATACGTGCCTTAACTTTTTTTATTAACATTAGACTGACTGCATATATGCGTTTACGCGTATAGTTGATTCCCTTTTTTTAAAAAAACTTCATATGTATATATTAACATACAAGTAAATCTTTTGTTCTTCGAATGTCACATAGTGCTTTGAATTTCATCAGTTTTTTCTCTGCATTTATTTATCATATCATTTTAATAATTAAGTACAGGAAGTAGTAAATTTTATCACGATCCAGTTGTGCAATTTTTATCCATAATGTTGTCCTTTATTCGGAGGAACTTTCCCACTCGTAATTGATTTAATATGAAAATCTTAATAAGTGACTAATTTATTTACTAATCTGTTCCCAGTGTCTATATCATTTTTGTTTCATTGTATTGTAGGTAACATTCGATTTAAAAATGAATAAAATTAATCATCAGTAAATACCTACTACTTTTTCATTCAAAGACTTGATAATACTTAATAATTATATAACGAGCGCCTTTTTGTTTTATTAATCAGTCAAATAGATGTACTATTTTCTAAATTTATCTTATAAAATCTTTTTCTTACTTTGTCCCTCTTATATTGTTTTCTTTTCTTAATTATGGCAGCTTCGTTATGAAAGACAAGTAGATTCATTTTTATTTGTCTGAATTTGTCTGCACATTTAATTATTAATTGTGTTCGACGTTTTGTCAGTTTTCATTTTACACTCCCTCTCCGCCTGTCATGTAAAATTTTTATACAAAATAGACGACCATCTTTATAATTCATCGTTTTTTTTACAAAATACTGTCTCAGTTGACCTCGGATATGAAGAAAATCGTATGAGTTCATTGTTGAATTCTCTGTTACTTCTAGTTTGCCTGTTTAATATAAAAATAGTGCTACCTTATAATTTGCAGTGTAGAATATTAAATAAATTAGCTAGTTATTTTCATCTGATTTTGATTTATAAAAGTTAACTGAATTAATATTCGCCGTTCATCATTGAATCTATTTATTGAGTTGGTTTTGAATTAATACTACTACTTCCATGAAAAGTACATAGTTAACTACTAATGCGGTTTGTGTTCAGTATCAATGTGTTATGTGAATAGTAACATTTAATAAAGTAATCAATAGCCAATAAATTTAATCATAGTCATGTTAAATTTTGCTTATCTTATCGACGGCATGAAATAAAAAGGGTAGTTCCTGATAACACAAGTGGATTAAGATCTAGGGGTAGACAGATGAATATATGATAAGGATCTTTATGAATAGTGACTATTCACTTAAACTATTTTAGGATTTGTAGACCAATGTGAGTTGTGTTTTCGGGAAACCACAACACTTTGACAGATGTTTTATTTCATGATCTGAAGTTACTAATAAGTGTTGGAATTGATCCCATAACAGTTATTCGATTTTACTTCATTTCAAGTTTCTTCAAAAATCAGTCCGCAATAATATCTGTCCAGGTACTTTTAACTAAGTAGCACAGATTAGACCCCTGACTGAAGTAGTTAAACCAATGATGTTTCAGAGAAGCAGAATAAGTTAATAACTACCTGGAAAAGTACTGCCGTGTATATTACACACTGTATGGTTAATTTATACTCAGTTTGCAATCTTGAGATTGACGCTATGACTTTTACCTACATTACATTTAAAATTAACGTGTTTTAGTACTATTGGTCGTGTCAATAATGATGAACCATCGGAAATGGTTAGTTTGCTTTAACCAATTTCTCTTTTTGACTCAACAAACTGAAGTTAAAATCCATTTCTTTTTATTTGAAAGTAATTGCGATGACTCATAGTTTTTTATAAATACTAAACAAAACGTACGAATTTATTATGATGTTAGTAGTATATTGGTCATAATTTTCTAATATAAATAATCATAAGAAATATAAGACACGTAGTAATTGTCCTGAAATGAAGTGAAATTTGATTTATGATTGATTTCGTGTAGTTTAACAAGGTAATGAAAGAATTGGCTACATTGAAATTTATGTGTATTCTTTTAACTACTACGGAGTTAGACATAGGCCATCTTCACCCTACATATATTACAAATATATTTATGAGGTGAATAACAATCTATGTTTAGAGTTTGCCGTTTATGTAAGATGGAAATTTAAAAAAGCTTTACAACTGTTAAGGAACTATTTTGCAAATATTTTCATGTTTTTGATTATTAATGATATTGAATTTTTCAAGTTAAAAAAGCACACACAACACAGTAGGCTAATAAAGCAAGATATATACTCGGAACAAAAGTATGCTACACAACTGTGCTATTGTGTAATCTTAACATGATCGGATAGTGAAACTAGAATGGTAACACATTATTTCCAATCAGAGTAACATCACTTGATATTATTAAAAGTGTAATCGACATAAACACATCTTATTCAGTACAGTATACTAATTCTATTTACTTAATCATAAACAAATTGAAATCATTGATGTACTTAAGAATTGTTTCGAAGAAACAATAATTAAGAAGAACTTTTTAATACATCAGATTTGAGTAACCTTGTAATAGATAGTCGTCGAATTCACAGAGGATGATGGTTAGGATTTCGTCTTGAGATTCGAAATCTAATTTTGCACAAGCATTCGAATTTACCCTAGGAAGAATGTCAAATAGCTTGTGCTATAATTTCAATAGTAAATTAGTGTCAGATAGAATTTCTATGTGTCGATTGATCTAAATGTTAACTGAAACGGTAAGCAATTAACAATATTCAGGATTTCAGCAGGTTCGATTTCTATTGGCTGTATCAAATTGCATGAACTAGTATCTTCTAATGTCGTAAATTTGAGTATTTTTGTTAAAACTTCCTAAAAGTTCGTGACCCCTAAATTGACTTAACTTTGTAAAGGTATAAACGTAAGTCTTATTAAATGAAACTGTATAATTTAATTCAAAGAGAATGTTCATCATATTGTTTAATTATTTTACTATATATAGTCACCTAATATTCTATATTTTTCTTCAACGAAAAATTTGTTCATCTGAGTAAAAAGTACTTACTCGATTTTAGACAATTTTCAAAAGAATATGAATTAGTCTCAACAGGCTAGACTTTTACAAGATTGAAACCAACAATTTATACATTTTTGTATTTGACAATCAGAACCACTTAGTTGTGTGGTTATTCTAACAAGCTACTTATTGTCACTTAGTTGGAAATAGTCTGAAAATGTTTGCATGTTATCTAGCCTTTACTTCGTAAATTTAATGCATATCAAAATTCACTAACCAATCCTTGTACAGAAAATTTTGCCTGAGTGAAATGTGGAATCTTCATGCATGACACGGAACTGTATAAAGTGTACACAGTCCTCGAATGAATGAACTATGATGTTTTAAACAATTGTATATAACCTAATATTTTCATGAATAGACAAAATATCAAAAATGTGCTCTACGAAGACGACATTTACCAGTGAGAGTTTTGAATGTGTTTACTTTTAGTTTGATACTTCTTAGGAAGGCTCATCCACAACGTCATATGGAATAAAGTCTAGGAGCTTCGGATCTCGTATCCAGCAGGAAAAATGTAAAGTAACTTAAAAACATTTGAAAATCAGGGAGCACAAGACAGCATTAGGCTCATATTCTTCCACCTGTAAGTAAATTTGAAAGACACTCCATGACCCTTAAACTTGACATTAAATATATAAAAAAAAACTCAGGTTTTTACTTATTTCTTCACTAAGCTTAGTAATAATCTCTGATTATTGAAATATGTAATATCAGTAAAATGTGTTGCTTACTATGATAGTAAGAGTAAACAAACTGACGACGTCCAAAAAATAACTCACTCTCTCCTCACCTGATGTAACTAGAAATTGTCATCATGAAATCAGTAGATTTTGATTTTTACTTTCCGATTACAAAATAACAGTTGTCTATATTTTTTCTATTCTCAATTATTGTTCTATTTACTTGTAAAATTCTTGAAAACCATGTCTTTTGATTTTCGACACTAGTCAATAAGGGTTATCAGTAACCATGAGTAATATCATGCTCCTACATTATCTTGAACACCACAGATTGTTGACAAGTTATAAATTAAACGAAACCTATTTATTCTTTTAACTTTCTGGCTACTGTGAATTATCAAGTAAACGAATTACTGTGCACAGTCACTTAATAATGAAATACAGAATTCCAGCAGTACTAAGAAATACGATAATATTGGTCACTAATAAGTGATCGATTCGTGTTAGGTGAACTTTTGTCTGTAACACATACTATAATTTAACTACTCAACTTAGAAATTTTCGTTTGTGTAACTCCATACTTCTAGTCATTATTCATCTCTTATGATCAAATAAGTAGTTTAGTCATATTTTAAAAATACTTGAACTCCAACGGTTTTTGGGAATGAGTATTCAGTTAAATCTTTGTTAGTGCCTGAAGGTTAAATAAGTTGACAATCGAACAATTCACTGAGGGGCAAATTCTTTCGTTTTATTAACCATGAATACATACATGTACATTTAATTATTTATATTGGCATGTTAATATGACAGTTTTTTATTCATACGAATCCTGGGTGGTTTTGTAATTCGTTAGAAAGTCAAATTACAACTTCCCAGTATGAAATATCATTCATTATACTTTTATGCATTTTTCTCATTTCAATAATATATGTTCATATGTTCAGTCAAATGATCATGTTTGATTAACAACTTTAAGAGCATTTTTTTTCAACTTAGATCGATCTTAGTTTGGAAGTAGTCAACAGAGTAGACGGCATTTAAATGACTTTCACTTAAAATAGGTGTAATTTTGTGTTGTTTGGTGGTCAATTATATTTCTGTTTACCTAAGTGTATAAATTGTCAACTTTTTTTATGATCATTATAACTATAAAAGCATGATTCATCATGGACTTCTATTGGTTATGAATTGACGTTTGTCGTATAATAGGTGTCGAATAGTTATTATACGCAAAAATG